TTGGTGAAGACAAGTGATGCCAATGAGACAGTAGTGAAAAAAATATAGACCCCGAGGACGAGCAATTAAAAATTGCCTTAGCACTTTCGCTAACCATCACTGAAGAAGATAACTCGTTACCGAAAGACATGGCGGCAGATAAAGGGAACGAAATAACAACAAAAATTATTGATGATTTATCCAAACAGAACAGTTATCTAACGGAAAAAACAGCAGCCTTAGAAAAAGAAAATGAAAGATTAAGAAAAGAATTGATGACAACACAAGAAGGAAGTATTAATAAAGAAATGGCTGAGTTAAAAAGTCAATTGGTCGAAGAAAAAACAAAGAACGCAATTCTTAGCCAGGAACTAGAAGACTTAAAAAAAGAAACCAAACAAAAAGGGTTAGAGGAAAAAATACACAATTACTTTACAAAAGAGTTACGGGAAGATGGTCTTCTCTCTTATCAGGTGGATTTTCTTGAAAGATTTCGTTCTGGCTGAGAACGAAGTACTAACAAGGAAGAAAAATTATCATTAGTCAAGAGAATTTTGAAAGAAAATCAAGAAAATAATATTGAGAATACCAGTTTCCCTCCGTACTGTCCGACAAAGCTACAAGGATTATTACAGGAGTGGTTAATTATTCAATTAGAAACAGAATTTCGGGCACAAATGCAACAAGTATAGGTTATGAATGAAAAAAGAGAAAATCAACAAAAAGTTCTTGATGCGGTAAATAATGGATTTAATTTGTTCCTTGACCCAGGAAGTTTCCTCATTCTCGATGAATATTTGATGCCAAGCGGCTCTATTGGCTACGGTAATGTTGAAAATTTTGCAGAAATTTTTCAGGCTATCAAAGGATATATATCTAATCACAGACATGAATTTAAATTAGGTGACAATTCATCGGAAGAAAATGTGTGTGATGGCTACTTAGAAGGGCAAGGTCCAGAGGACAGGCCGTGATGGTCGCCACTTATTGATTTTTTCCCAGAGGAAAGTGGACGAGGGAGAAATCAAGGAGTGCACGGCGTCTGCCGCACTCGTAAAATAATGAAGGGGAATTTTTTTATTCACCCGGCCGCTCTTACCGGAGCACAATATGAAGAGTTAAAACAACTGATTCCGGGTGCTTGCAAAGTAAGAGGTTGCTGCAATAATTACAGCGACCCATTCTCTTATGATGTCGATTTTTCCATGCACGACAGGAATGTTTGTGAATAACATTTTCATTTTCCTAACCATCGACCCCCTTTTTTTGCGGGAAAA